CCCCAACACATATAAACACACACACACTTGATTACGGGGTTTTGCCATTAATCCAATCGTAGGAGAAGCCACCGGGGAGGAGGAGGAGGTGGAGGACAGAGATAACTACAGAAATCAGGGACAGGAAACAGATCTAATATATAAAAAAACCTAAAGCACATACTTTCTCCTACATCCTCGCAATCAAACCGTTCCTTTGGCTCTTCGTTTCGAGATGACGGGTGAACAGAGTGTGTAAATATGGAAAGGGTAGCCCATATTTTTCTTGCACAAAGTGAGACGTGGTAAACTGGTTGATTTATTATCCATCCTTTTGGGGTGTGGGGTTGGGGCGGGGTTCGTATTTTGCTGTGACTTAAAACCTGAGGGAGTGTTCCTTTTTATTTTTGTATGTTCCTTAGTTTTTTTTTTTTTGTATGTTGAGTGAAGTTTGAGCAAATGGAGAGTGATATTATTTTCCACTTACACTTCTTGATGTTGCCTGAGTGTTTTTGTTACCATACTTTGCAGCTGACAAGTTCTTTCTTAAAAAAACCAACAATCAAACAAAAAAAAAATAATACTCAATGTACTTCCCACATGTTTGTAAAGCTTCCCAGGCTTTCGACCTGGACTGATTAATACTGTAAACTTGACTGTAAAACACCCTATTGATACAACTATTTATAAATGCATTGTGCATTATTGTGTGCGTGTGTGTGCCAAATTTTCATGAAGGAATACATATACACATATATATATACCGGAATCTTTTATTTTCGTGCTTTATACGTACATTTACTCACTGAGTTCAGTCGTTTAGTTGCCACTATTTTTAGGGCTCTTTCATAAAAAAAGCAAAAAAAAAAAAAAAAGAAACAAAAAATACTAATAACACCTAATTACCAACTCATGCATGGCAAATATGAACTCATGCATGCATGGCAGCAGTTCTGAAACTCTTGTGTATTCTTAAAGCACCTCGTATAAACAGCTTTGAATGACGAACCTCAAGAAAATAAAAAAAAGAAACGTCTTAAATCTGCGTTGTACTGTACGATTCTCACTGACTTGTACAGTGGCCTCATATCTTGTAATAAAACTTATGATAAAGTACTATTTACTGTTAGTGTTGATTGTGGTTTACGATAAGGAATGATGTATTTGATGTTGTTTTTTATTTTCTTTTATTGGTTTATAAAAAGAAAATCTTTTGAATCTGTAGCAAAGAAAAAACTCACACAAAAATCTAGTTTTGTATCAGAAAGTTGAAGACAGTAGCAGGTTTAGATTGACTTGTTTTCTTCTTATTGTTTTTTTTTTCTGGACATGTTGCTTGTACAATTTCTCCTGTTGTTATTGTATTGCCTAATCTGGCTGCCAAGGAAGGTAAAGTCAGCATTTTTCCACTGTGAGCAAAGTAGCATCTTTGGAAGGAGACAGGATGTGGGGAGGGCAGGAGAGAAGAATGAGCGAACAATCCCACGGAGAATCTGAAATGCACACTTGGTCCTGATGAGACCGCCGGTCTCAAACAGTTGCACAACAGACTATATGATCTCATTAAGTGCTACAGTACTGCAAATGATTTTTTTTTTTGTGGGAATAATGTACAACACTGCTTCCCAATGCAATAAATGTCTGTTTGCATTAAAAAGAATCTCAGTTTCTCTCTCTTGAATCAAGCCTCCTCTGTGTTGCCAGAGATGTTGGGGGGGGGGGGGACCCAGGCGTGAGGAATGCTGATGAGATGTGACATTTCCAGCTCTGCTGTGGTGACTGAATGATTCATGTTGTGTGACGAGCCTCTGTCAGCACACAGCATCTTCAAACGCTGCTGGGAACATGCATGCATCACATATATGTAAAAACCAAGCATGTCCATTTCTCTCCATCTGCAGGTGAGAAAACAGTCCCCTCCTTTATCTTGACTGACAGGACAGGGGCTGCCTGTGCTGGGTGTCATGGTAACAGATGAATGTCGGTGGGTGCTGAGGTGGGGGGGTTTCGATGCAGAGCCCCTGAGCCTCGGTTTGATATCATCGCTATCTTTAATGGAATGTGCTCAGTCCTCTTTATCTCTGCCCTCTTCTCCTYCGAGACCCCCCTCTTCCTATTCACTCCGTGGCGTGACCGTGCTATCCTGCCAAAATAGTCCCTTTCTCTAAAGRTGCCAGTCGACCATGACAGCGACAGCCCGTCCCCTCACACATGATCAGTTCATTCCTGAGTTACTCTGAGGTCAGGCTTTCCTCCAAAATAACACTGCCTGTCTGAGCTTCTCCTCTACACTCATATCTGGTTTGGGGAGTTCAAATATTGGGCAAGTTTTTTTGCATTTGGTGTTACTTCAGCATGACTTTTTAAAAGTGCATCTTCCTCGCACTGCATGCCATTTTCCACCGTTTGCAGCAGCAGGTGCCTGCTGTAAATTACACCCAACAAAAGTGACTCATTCACCAGATGTAACCCTGATTTGCCAGCGTGYAGCAAACGAAATGTGGCGAAAGGAGGAGTGGGCTTGCTCCACTGGATTAAGAAGTTAGAAGTGACTGAGCGGCAGGTGCATCAGGCAACAAAAGGGGTTAAATTATWGAGTCTCCTGAAGCATGCCAGCAAAATGCTCCAGGTGGTTAAAGGGCATTATTAGGAAAAGCAGTTGTGTTTTTTTTCAACCCACACTGATGAGTCATTACTTTCTTGCATTTTTAATGTTTTGAACAAAAATTTAAGGCAGATTTGGATAAAAGCAATGATTTTTCTCTCACTAGAGAAAAATAACACATAAATCCAAATTTAACAAACCTTTTCAACTTTTGCATTATATATATATATTTTTCTGGTGATTATTAATGTAATGTACTAAATAATTTAGGTTTGCTGCACTTACAGTTGTGGTCAGAAATTTACATCCTCTCGTTTTGGACATGAGAGTTTTTATCTTTTATTGATTTGGACAGTTTCCTTACCATGGAAGGATTATGCACATGTCAACAATTTTAAAACTAAGAGTGTGTAAGCTTAAGTTTATTGTGTCCAAATTAATGCACACAGGTTGAAATGCACCCCCACTTATATTTGGTTAAATGTGCCTTTACAAACTACACCTCCACCACAGTTTTTTTGTTTTTTTATCAACAAGCTTCTCATTTGATTCTGTTTGGTTTTGATGAGTGAACCTCTGACATCCTATATGTATTTATGTAAAAACAACTGGTAGTCTTGGTTTATTAAAAATAAAAATGTTACACTTACAATTTTCAAGTTATTTAACCAAGGAAGGACCAACAGTTGGATCTTTGATATAAAACTCACAAAACTAATGTGTCAAACTTGAATTCAGCATGATTTATGATGATGAAAACAGCTAAAACAAAGGCTGCAACCCATTTGATACAAAGCATCACAGTGAATGAGGAGCCAGACTGATGGAGGACGGCGTCATCAGAGATGGAATTATGGATCTGCTGCAAGTTTCTGTAAGTGAGGTGTAGGTGCATTTTGCAAAATACTAATCATTTTATATAACTCAACTCTACTGYTTGGTTTATCAGTAAAAACCTTAAGAACTTCAATTTCCCTGGGAACTTGTTCCTTTTAAAGTGGTGAGAGAACAATATATTCATACCATCATAAATTWTTATTATGTTCAGACTGACAACTAAATAAAAAAAATAAAATAATTTTATTAAAGTGATTAAAAATTAAAAAATGGTGTAAAACAGTTTTACAGGAATTCTAGATTCAACCAGTGAACCGGAAACAAAAGTTTATGT